AAAGTTATGACAATTTCTCCGACAATCTTGAAGTCAGGGACCGGTTTAGGATAGCCTTAAATATGACAATTTTCTCTTTGCATCTCTCATCTCCGTTTCTTTCGTCGTTTCCCCTTTATACATTTATTTTCTAAATTGGACAATGGCTATAAACGCACATAGAGAAGCAGATGTGCCTCTCTCTCTCTCTCTCTCTCTCTCTCTCTCTCTTATCACATACACACACAAAAGATATGAGATACAAACTAAACATTCTAATAAATACAACGCCAAACAGACAAACAAACACACCAAAACCAAACTGCAAAACTCATCATTTCCGAAAAGCAATTTGGTAAATATCCAAAAAGGCTAAATGAGTTAAACCCCTTCCTTCGAGGCGGGGCAAATTTTAATTTTACTTTCGATTTCGTCGCCATAGATATACTAATTCTATAACCAAGTGGAAATAATTTTTCCAAAAAAGTAAACAGAATTCAAAAATCGTAATGTGCAGATCCCTGCGGATGAGAAGCCATTTGCGTATATCAATTGTTTCGTTAATTTGATTTTTCATCTCTGACACAAGCATCGATCTGTTCAGGTTAATGCATTGCAATCATGGGATGGAGTGCAGCAGGGTAAACATATTGGTGCTTATGTTACAGATGAAACTTTAACAAAACATTTAATAAAATAAATCTAATTTCACTAAACAAAACGTTTAATAATCGTATTGTCGGACGATTGGTCTGAGAACACCTTTGGCGCACATACTCTCATATGTAAGCACACACACACACACACACACTCACACATTCTAATTTGTATGATATCTACAAATTTACAAAGAACAAGCTTTCTCCCTGATGGCCTTCGCAATCCCCTGGCCAATTCCTCTGGAACATCACATGTTGTCACTCTGGAACCTTACCAGATTCCAAAGGGCGAGAATGGGAATCGTAATGGTTCCCGAGCTCCCAAACCAGGCAAGAAGGAGAAAAGTCCTCCTCAGTCCATAAAGGAAATCTCACCTGGTAAATTTGAAAGTAAATAACTAGTAGTGAAGACTATTGATGGTGTATCAATCATGGATCTTGATATTTTTATATCGGAAAATAGTTGAGGTGTCTCTCTCTCTCTCTTTCTCTCCCTTTCTCTCTCTCTCTCTTTCTCTGTGCGATATGCAACATTCCTGGAGCTCATGTTCTCACAAAACGCGGGAATTGTCTTTTCTTGAGACCTGATGAGGTATTCTGTTAGAGGAACATAAAAATGTTAATGTAGTGGCAGTAAATCGTTTTAAGAAGGAAGATGATGATTTGGAGCAGTCGACACCAGCTCTCCTTCTAACTTTTGGAACGTTAGTCCTTCCAGAATCAGTGAAGTTGGCATGGTACCACCTCAAGGTAAAGCCATATGTGCCCAACCCTATTTGACTCAGCTTTACCGAGCACTTATTAGTAGTAAACTTGACTATGGATGTGAGGCTTATTCATCTACAACTCCCACTGTTCTCCGGATGTTGGACTCGGTTCATAATGAAGCTCTGAGAATCTGTATAGGGGCTTTCAGGTCTTTACCTGTGGAGTCCCTGTATGCTGAGGGATTTCTTGAAAGACTTCTAAGTATCAAGGATCAGATGCAATATATACTGATGGTTCAAAATCTGAAAATGGTGTGGGCTTTCCAGCAGTGAGCAGAAGGATGACTGCATTTGGCAGTCTTTCTCTAGCAGCCTCAATCTTCACTGCAGAGTTACATGCCATCCTTGCAGAAGTCAAGATGACTAGAGCCAGTCTGTTGTAATATAATGTGACTCTCGTAGTTCCTTACAAGCAATCAGGAGCTTAAACTCATCACATCCAGTGGTGAAGGAGGTTCAAGATTGGTTTGCACTGATGTCCGCACGTAAAAAGATAACTCTATGTTGAGTGCCAGCGCATGTTGGAATCAGTGGGAATGAGCGAGCTGCCAAGGAACCTGCCGCTCAGCCCTGTGATGCTCATTTTCCTCTCCCACACACTGACTTGAAACCCAGCATCAGGAGATGTCCTCGCGATAAATGGAAGGAACAATGGAGGCATAACTCTAGAAACAAACTGGGATAGATTAGAGATGACCTTGGTAGTTGAGTGACCAGCATCCATCCCAGTCGACAAATAGAAGTTGTATTAACAAGACTAAGAATCGGGCACACACGACTGACTCATGGGCTGATGATGGCTAAAAGTAAAGCACGCTGTGAAGAACGTCAAGAGCCATTAACGGTCGCTTTGATTTTTTAATATAATATTTATTGCTATTGATGATGTTTTAAATATTTTAATATTTCAACCTAACAAGGTGTTCACCACTAATGACCCTTTTTAATAATCAGTCAATCAAACCGCTGCAGATCCTTGAGAAAAATGAATCCGGCAAGTCCATCAATGCCTTCATCAACAGATGAAGGCATTGAGACCCTCTCATGGTTTGCGTCGCATGGAAGCCCAACGATCCTGGTTCCTAACCAAAAGTCTGCAAAAAATTTCATCAGATTACCTCACAGGCTGATCTAGACCGCCCTTGATTGTATTAATGTTGCTTACTGGCGGGAGTTCTCACCACTGAACATTACTGTCACATATGACATTCAGCCTCCTCGATCCCTGGTGGTTTTGGGATTTGACCAAAGCTAATGTAGATCATCACACGGGTGTCATTTTAATTGCTCTCGTGGCCACGCCCACCACGGGATACCTGCCAGCGGTCTTGTTGTGATAAACCTATGTCAATGCGACATTTATTATTCCATCTCCATATATAGACACCTCAGTATATCTGGTTTCGGTTTCGAATTTCTAAATCAATTTCCACCGGGTGCCCACGGGGAGTGTGTGTAAAACCTCTCTATCATTACTCACGTATGAGTAGATGGGTAATGCCAATGGAGCTAGTTAGATCCTAGTTGCACGTTCCTTTATGACCAAGGAAAAGAGGTGAGGATCCCCTGCCCCTTTCACAAAGCCTAAACAAGCGAGAGAGAAAGACACGCATGCACGCACGCACATACGCACACAAAATAGATAGATAGATAGATGGATAGAAAGAGGGAGAGAGTGAGTGAAGGTTAAGTTTGATTCCATTTGTTACAGTGGATATTCTTGGTGTGACATACTGTCTGTTTCATTTTGCTTCAAAGTTATCCCTGTGAGCAAGGAATGGCCGAGGTTACCATCCACTGGCGGCGAGGGATTTGAACGCTGGTCAGCAAGATTGCGATCTTACGAGATCGTTACCGCTGCACCACACAGCACATTAAGAGATAGAGAGAAGGAAAGAGAGAGTGAAGGAAATAGAGAGAGAGAAAGAGAGAGAGAGAGAGAGAGAAGATGGATGTTGATGGCACAAATAAAAGTTTTTTCTTATTAAGTGAGACCGCACATCATTATCGCCTTAGGTAATCTGTTGCAGCAATACAATATTATTGTTATTGTTAAAAGCAGAAAAACACAAGAAGTCATATAAATGTCAAAACGAAACGAAAATAGAAAACGGTTTATAAAACGCAAATCAAAGGGCAAATAAAAATTATCCAACAAAACAATAGAAAAGACTAGATTACATTTGTTTGAAATGATACTAAAACAAAAGAAAAAATCCTTAAAGCAATATAACAAACAGGCTTGGAATCGACGGGACGCTACCAATTTTGGGGGTAACTTCCTTACCCTGAGCACCACTATAAATCACGTATTTATGACTGGTATAACGATTACACAGTAACGAGTGTTGATAAATTCTCTATGGACATTACGAAAGGCGTGGCGTCGTTTTGCCCTGTATATTCCTTAAAGAGACTGGGAGAGACTATTTTACACTGCCAGACGCTCTCTTGCATCTCCCTTCATACTGCAACATGAACTTCGGTCGCCTTCCCTTCGCCGAAGCCGAGGCCACGAGCGTTTTATCCCGCGAGTGAGGAGGATGCTCGAAAACGGTGTTGCCACGGACGGCTCCTATATATGATTATTTTGTTGTTTAATAAATGTGTATTTCATTTGAATCTTCTGACACGACTCTCTCTCCTAGAATAAGCAACCACGAGATGGAATTGAATTACTTTGATTTTTACATTTTAAGAGTATTTATTACTTCACAGAACGTTCTCAAAGAAAGGTTAAACAA